CAGAGACAGCCAGCGTGCCCTGCACTCCGTTCCCACAGGCCCCCCGGTACCGCTCCCGCCACTCCGTCATGCTGCCTCTCGAGCCCCTGCCCGGGCTTGCTGGGTGGCAGCCTCTGGCAGCCCAAGACCGCTAGAGGGGAAAGAAGGGACAGGGAAAGACACCTCGGGTGCGTTCCCCTGTGCGCCACCAGGTGGCGCCATTGGCACAGGACAATCCGGGGCTGTCCCGTGTGGCCGGTGGGGACAGGGGTGGTACCATTAGTTCAAGACCAAGGCTCCGGTGCCTGCCACCTGAGGACCTCCAATGATTAGCCTCCTGGTCGGTGCTTCTCTCTCCCAGAGACACAGTCGTACCAAGGGGCTGAGCCTAACAAGGCCTTGGCACATGGTGATCATGGATAAATACTGAAAAATGATGCCATCTTTGTTTTTGTTGTTTTTTTCTCCCCCCAGATCTTAAGGATTCTTTTCCGTGTGGCAGGGGTCGAGGAGGGGGCACTGCCTGCTTGCTGCCTTCCCCCAACAGAACTAGCAGAGAGAGTCTTGTCTAACTCTGGGCATGTGTCTATCAGGAAAACCCTGGTCTCTGCTCCCAGGTATGCCTCTGATCCCATCTGTGACCATGAGCAGGTCATTTGCATGGTTTTTTTCTGTCACTAAATCTGTACGATGAGAGTTATCATACCAGCCCTGCTGGGAGAATCAAGTGAATTTTGCAAGAGAACATAACGATTAAAAGTGCAATCACGGGAGCTCACGTCCTTGTTCCACTGCCTAGTTGCTCTGTGGCCTTGGGCAAATGGCTTGCACCCTCTCATCTTCAGTTTCTTCATCTATAAAATAGGGGCAATAATAATACCTATCTACATGAGGTTTTTGCGAGGCCTGAAGTAGTCGATACATGAAAAGCCTTTAGAACCGTGTCGGGCATAAAACAAATACCTAATAAACAGGCAAAAATTCTGGCTTGAACAGGGAAGGCACTTTGGAGATGGGCCCAGTCAAACTTACAAGCAGGGCAGGAATCTCTGAGCAGCCTGCAGGGAGAATGGCCTCCAGGTGGGTTTGCACACCTCTAGTGACAGAGAGCTCATTTTCTCTCCGAAAAAGGAGCCCGGTCTACTGTGGGCCAGCCCAGCTCAGGATTAGAAGGGTCTCCCCAACAGAGTCACAGCCGGTTCTCAGGCTGAATCGTGCCCCTGGCTTAGGGGTCAGGTCTACTCCTGGGAGTAGGCCCACTGCCCCCTCCCCTCCCTACCTCCCCCGCCCCCAAAGGCGGCTACATGGCTACCCCGTGCAGAAAGGGGGATGGGTGGTGCTGGGAGAGGAGGGAGGCAGCCCTCTCCGGGTGTGGGGGTGGTGCTCGACGGAGTAGACGCTGTCCATCTTGAGCACCAGGCCAGTGCAGAGGGTTGCTTTGAGTGGGGCCTCCAACTGGTGGGCTCCTTCTGGTGCTGGAGTCTGTGGGGAGAAAAGAAATGACCTCCTGCAGCTGAGGAAGGGAACACAGAGAAGACAGGCAGCTCCTGAGCACGGGCACCAAAGTGGCCAGGCCAGGGGCCTCATGGTCACTTGCTTGCTCACCTTTGCTCACTCAGGGCAGCTGGAAATCCTGTCTGGGGGTTCTGTTTTCTTCTCAAGATGGGGAGCAACTTGAGGGCAAAACTATGACTTATGTTCTGTGCTTCCACTGCCTGGTACACAGTAGGCACTTAATAAATGTGCATGGGAACTAAACCGAAAACAGAAACCAGTAATTTTGGTCCAGTTTGGAAAGCTGTAGTCTTCGTGTGGATAAGGCACCTCTGGCCTGCTGGGGACATCTGCACTCTCCCATTTCCTCCTCCTTCAGGGCTGGCCCCTCCTCCATGAAGCCCTCGTCGTCGGCACTCCCTCCTCCCTTCGCCCTGAGTAAATAATCCCTTCCTGTGCCCCCTCTTGGCTCTGTACAGACTTCTGCTATAAGGCAGGCTGGAAGAGTGGATAGGAGCCCAGAGCCTGGGGTTATCCTCAGAGTCACTTCCCCTGGACACATTCCTTAGCTTTGTGACCTTAGGCAAATTATATTTTTTTATTTTTAAAAAAGATTGGGGCGCCTGGGTGGCTCAGTCGTTAAGCGTCTGCCTTCGGCTCAGGTCATGATCCCAGGGTCCTGGGATCGAGGCCTGCATCGGGCTCCCCACTCGGCGGGAGGCCTGCTTCTCCCTCTCCCACTCCCCCTGCTTGTGTTCCCTCTCTCGCTGTGTCTCTCTCTGTCAAGTAAATAAATAAAATCTTTTAAAAAAAAAGATTTATTTATTTGAGAGAGCGAGAAGAAGTGGGAGGGGCAGAGGGAGAGAGAATCTGAGGCAGGCTCCACGCCCAGCGAGGAGCCCGACATGGGGCTCCATCCCACGACCCAGAGGTCGTGACCTGAGCCGAAACCAAGAGTTGGAAGCTTAACTGACTGCGCCACCCAGGCGCCCCAGGCAAATTTTATTTTAACCTCCCTGTGCCTAGGCTTCGTCATCGGTAAAATGGAATTGGTTGTAGTACCTACCTGTGGGACCGCAGTGAGGATTAAGTTGATTTGTAGATTCGGAGTGTCCCGAATAGTGTCTGGTGTTTCGTAACTGCTCTGAATCGCTATGTTATTGCTTCGTTGTGCTGGGATGATTGCTCCTCACCCAGATGGGGGCTCCTCGGAGTTTGGGTCTCTCACTTGTGCATCCTCCCACTGAGGCCAGGGCCCAGGGCAGGATAGGCACTCAGCAAAATGGGAGGGGACAGATGGATGGACACTCGGACAGATGTCTGGACGAACAGGAGTCCTGAAGTGCGCCGTCCCCTAGGGACCTCACCCGCAAACTCAGCTGCGGAGGCCTGGCCCGCGGCTCCCCACTGGGGGTGCCCCCGGAGCCCATGACCCCTGCCCCTCCCACCCCTGCTTACCCGAAACCCCCACCAGGAGCTCGGGGGAGGAAAAGCCATCAGATCCAAGTCCAGCAGCTTGCCAGCTCGGCATCCACGGGGGTGAGAGCAGGTGGGAAGTGTTGGTGAAAATGAGGTTTCACAAGGCGCTGTGGTTTCATTTCCATCACCTGGTTCCTGAGGGCCTGACAGGCCAGCCCGGGCCCCCTGGCTCCCTGCCCAAGGCCCGTCCCTGCCTCTCACCAGGAACACCCATCCCACTGCAGCCTGTTGGGATCCTGCCGTGTGCCAGGCTCCATGGTAGGCGCCACCTTCACAGGAAGCCTGGGAGGAAGGCATTTTACCCCATGTGAAGCTCGTCCATCCGTCCATCCATCCATCCATACACCAATATTTATTGAGCACGTACTAAGGTGCCTGCCCTGTGCCGAGCCCGGGGGGGAGTCAGAGGCGAAGGCGACAGAGGCGGCCCCAGACAGGCCAGAGACCATACGCCAGGCCCACATCCAGAAGCTGCAAAGCTCCCAGGGCTCCGGGGTGCAGATCTGGGCTGCCCTGGGGTGCTGATCGTGGGCTGCATTGTTGAGGGGCTGAGGGCTTTGTGTGTGGAGGAAGCAGAGGGGCGCCTGCGTGGACGGGAGCGGAGGCAGAGCCCGTGCCCGTGTTCTGAGGCAGCTTGGTGCTCAGCCGCCTCCCAGGGCCAAGTCATAAAGAGCCTCCTAGAGGCACAGACCGATGCCTTTAGAACGCTCCCTCCGTGCACAGGGACATTAACGTGACGTCTATCACCATGGCATCGAGGTGCTTAGACAACCTGCTCCCCCCGGAGGTCGGAAACAGCGTGAAGCAGATTATCTGTGTCTCACTGTGACATATGCGATCATGTATCACTGTGATGGATCAACAGTCAATACCACTGGGGTCCCCGCCGCCCCCCAGCCAGTAGGGAGTGGCTGGCGTCTACGTTTTCCTCACCTGGTGGGCAGCCCTGTTCCTCCCTGCCGCCCTCCTGGTGCTGCTGCTGGGGGGGTGGGGGACATCTCCTGGCTTTCACCGTGCATGTGCAGAGCGGCTGAGGGGAAAGCGTTTGGAAGAAGGACCGAAACTGGACCCCTTCTGTGCCATCGTGGGGGTTTGCATGAGTGGGGACAGAGGCGCAGGCTTCACACCACTGGGCATTGAATCCTGGCCCCACGTACCTGCCCCGATCTCGAGCAAGGTGCTTTGCCTCTTGGGGGCATAGTTTTCTCTTTTGTAAAATTGGGATAATCACATTTGCCTTGAGGGTTAATGGGCACTCGTGGGGAAAGGAGGTGAAGTACGAATGTGTGCCAACACTCACCGCATTTCCCCAGCCTCCTCCGCTTGCCCGAGTGCTGGGGTCCTCCCCTCCACCCCCAGACTCCTGCCCTCTACCTCCCCGGGCCTGCAGGCAGACGTCTACCCCCCTACCTCATCCAGCTCGGCCTAGGGCTGGGCTCCAGAAGGCCAACGGTAAAAAGCCCCAGTCTGCCGGGGAAGGGGGTGCCGGGCTCCTGCCCTCACCCTAGCTGCCTGCCCCTTCTCCATCACGCACCTGCCCCCAGCCGATCCCCCCAACCTCCACCGCCCCCTGGAAACCCTGCGCTGGGATGAGCACATGAATCCAGGGGTCCCTGGACGATGTCTGACGGGAAGTCCGTGAGCACAGTTTTAAAAGTTTCAGCTGTGAGCAGCTAAATGAAACCCCGGAGTTACTCATGGGAATTCTGTGTCCCCTCTGTCACCAATGTCTACTGGATGGGCCACCAGCTCGAAGGGGACCGAGGAGGGGAGCAGCACCCCAACACGGGGTGGACGGGGAGGCCCCGCCGGGAGGGGCGCACGGCCCGGATTCCTCACCCTGGCGCTGTTCCCACTCCTTGCTCAGAAAGTCCAGGGTTACTAAGGGGAGCAGACCCAGTGAGGCCCTGAGGAAGCAGAAGGGTGGCCAGGGAGGAGCTTTGTGGGAACTCAAAGGGGAACTGTGGAGGCCAGCAGGCCGCCCCTCCTGTGAACTCGAGACAAAAGAGGAAGACCGGGAGGGAGGCCCCGAAGGAGAGCCGGCCTCCATGGCGGACACGTTCTCGGGCCTCTGGCTCCTGGGCTTGCTCCTGCTTCTCTGGACGCTGCGGCTCACAGGCACGCTGCGGCTCACAGGCACGCTGCGGCTCACAGGTACGCTGCCTGCTTTCTTCCCGCGAGCCCTCTGGCTGGCACATCAGGGCGGCTTTCATCCGCCCGTGCAGCTAAGTCCTGGGCACCTGTCTCGGGAGGTGTGCTGGTTGCGTCTGAACATTGCAGACTTCCCAGGGGGAGCCTCCGGGGATCGGGGAGATGGTTCGCTGATGCCTCGCCCAGGTGGCCCCCACCTCGCTGCTGCTGTGTTAGCAGACTTCCACCGCCAGCCTGACCGCTGGCCCTCAGCCACGGCGGGTGCGCGTCCCTGCGGCCAAGGGCAGGTGGGGTCGGTGTGGGGTCAGTGGGGAGCTCACCCCCACGGAATCTGCATCTGCTAAGCGGCAGGGCCGGCCTCGGCCTTGTTGCCCATGTTAGCCGGGGAGACCGGGGCGGACGAGGGCTGGCCCCCAGGAGCACTGTGCCCTGGGACACAAAATCGTCGCTATGGCCAGAGAGGGTGGTACTCCCCACTTCCTGACGTGCAGCCAGAGGCCACCTCGCAACAGGAGCTGTTGCCTTCCCTGGGGCCAACGCCATGCCCCCGTTCCTGGTCCCAGGTCCCCTCAGAAACGGGGCGGCCTGGATCCAAGCCAGGCCTCGGGCTGTGTGGCCTTGGGGCACGTTCGTCCAGACCAGGGAACCCCCAGGAGTGTGTCTCTCCGGGGCTGCCCACGAGGGGGTCCCTCCAGCTCAGTCTCTCCCAGGGCAGCCCTGGGCCCTCTGGGATTCCCAGGCCCACCCCCCCCCCCCCCCCCGCCAATGTGCAGCCTGGATGCTTTGCTTCCTATTTACCCAGACTTTTCTGAGGCTGCTGGGGGGCTGCCCCCCACTTCTGCTTCATCCTCTGCCTTTCGTTTAGACTGTAAACAACAACGGCTCTTCTTACTATCATGAATTAGCCTCTTTGAGCACTTGCTCTGGGCTTTACTCTCGCCGTCAGCCCCCCTCCAGCCACCCTTGGGGTGCTGTCACTAACGGCACCACTTAAGAACAGGGAAACTGAGGCCCAGGGAGGCCAGGTAGCGTGCCCAAGACCTAGAGGGTGAGTGGAGGTCAGGTTTAGTCCCAAGTCAGCCTGAGCCCCAGGCCAGGATCTTTGGCAGTGGGCTCCAGGGCTCCTCTCAGCTTTTTTTGCTTTTTTTTTTTAAGATTTTATTTATTTTTGAGAAAGAAAGAGAGAGAGAGTGCACATGCACGAATGCCCATGAGTCGGGGGAGGGGCAGAGGGAGAAGCAGGCTCCCCACTGAGCAGGGAGCCTGATGCGTGTCTCCATCCCAGGACCCCGGGATCATGACCTGAGCCGAAGGCAGATGCTTAACCTACTGAGCCACCCAGGTGCCTTCTTTGTAAAGAATATTCCTCATAGAAAGTGTCACTCCCCTCCCCCCAGGGGACAACAGCTGGCTGTGGTACCGGCTGCAGGCTTCCTGGGCTGGGCCCCTTGTGACATCATTTCCTTTCATCTTGCACACCTTGTGCCCCCTCCTGCAGCCCCCCGCCCCCATGGCCGGTGCAGAGATGGCCCCGAGGAAATGCAGTTTGTTGGTGACAGTGCGTCGGACTCGGTCATTTCTAACTTAATATCCCTCAAATTCTCATCATTTCTTTTTGTGGCCCCTTCTCCCCAGAAGGGACCCAGCACAGCTGGGTAACAGTGGACGACACTTTGCGGATGCTGCGGTGGGAAGCGCTTTTGTAACTGTCTCAACTATAAACATACAGCGGATTTTCTCCCCCCCCCAGTATTGCAGCAAAAGTTGTACAAAAGAGAAACTCTGCTCTTTCACAAGAGGTGAAAAACCCTCGTGGTCCCCGAGAACATTCCGGAGCAGCAGACAACACGGTCACTCCCAGTCCTGCCCTGAGGGTGCCTGGCTCGCTCTGTCTGTCATCAAAGTCCAGCCCAGGGACAGAGCACCATTTCTCTGAGCCTCGATGTGATGCAGGTTTGAGTACATACACCAGGGTGTTCAGCCTGACTTTCCATCTGAGCTCTGTGATTCACCCCAGGACCCTGGGCAGGTTCCTAATGTCTCTGTGCCTCAATTGCCTCATCTGTTAAATGGGTGCGATAGTAGTACCTGCCTGGTGTCACACCCTGAGACTGAGTGGTTGGGGCACGTGGTCGGGGCTCAGAGAACGCCAGCTACCTGCCGGTCCAGCAGAGCCAATCAAAACTCAAGATTCAGTTGGCCAGGTGGATATCTTAGCCAGCTCACAGGTTCCTTGGGGTCTCTCTGACCTTGCCAGTGGCCACTGGCACATTATGGTTTGGTGTCTCAGGACCTCTCTTGCTCCCAGCCCTCCTCCTCCTGTCGTGAGCCGGGACTCAGCCCTAGTGTCCTCCAGTCTTTTGAGCTCTCTGCAAATTCCACTTTTCTCAAAGGGTCTGGGAGCCACTTGTGGTCTCACGGGCAACTGCTCTCCCCCGGAGGTGAGTCATGCAAACCCGAGACTCAGCTTTCCTGGGAGCAGCTGTACAGCTGCTCAAGACTTGCTTCCACCAGGCTTCAGTCACCTGCGAGGGCTTTGGGGCCAGGCAGACCCCAGGTTCAAGTTCTACCTTCTTCCATTGACAGCTGTGTGACCTTTGACAAATTACTTAACCTTGGGCGCCTGGGTGGCTCAGTTGGTTAAGCGACTGCCTTTGGCTCAGGTCATGATCCCAGGGTCCTGGGATCGAGTCCTGCATCAGGCTCCCGGCTCAGCGGGGAGCCTGCTGCTCCCTCGGACCCTATCCCCTCTTATACTGTTTCTCTCTCTCTCTCTCTCTCTCTCTCAAATAAACAAATAATATCTTTAAAAAAAATTACTTAACCTTTCTGAGCCTCTGTGTCCTGAACAAATGTCAGTCCCCTTTCCCTTCTTGGCCTTTCCAGAACTCTGGGCTCTATTTATGTCTCAAATATCCACGGCGGAGGACCAGTTCTGGGCACGGGGGCAGGGGGGGACCTGGAGGTGAGCAACCCCGACTCTCAGCCTGGTGGAAACGCTGAGACTTGCCCAGAGAACGTGACAGAACATGACCCAAGGAGAGAGTTACCGATGCATGTTTGCTCCCCTCCCCCTTTGCTCTGGACTCAGGTGTCACTGCTCCCTTTGTTGTCCAAAAGATGTTCAGGAGCCTCCTGCCTTCTTTCCTGCAGCTCCGAGCCTCGGTCGGGATTGGCCTCTGCTTTTCATCTTTGTCTAATCCCAATAAAGAGCTTTCGAGGCAGGCGGAGAGAAGCACCTCTCTGCTGGAGGTGGGGCAGGGGGAGTGTTGGCGGGGGCAAGGGAGCCCCGAGGGGGAGGAGACAGAGCATGTGGGTGGGTGACAAGCACAGTGGGAATAAAGCCTGGGAGGCCAGAAGGCAGAGACAGGGGGAGGGGACAGAGAGAGGTTCAGTCTGGCTGGAGGGGAGGGTCTCTTGTCGGAGCAGTGGGATCCGAATCCCACTGGGCTCCATTCCAGGTGGATTATAAATGCCTGTCAGGTAGGGGTTCAGATGCTCTTCCAGTTGGCCCTATTATCATTGCTTTCTCTTTTTAAGTTATGAGCTATAATACCTATACAGAGAAGTACAATAAATATAAAACAAAGTCCTGTGTGACCACCATCCAGAGAACACCGCGGGGCTCCAGAGCCCCTGGTCCCCCGGTCGCCACCTAGACACCCCTCTCTCCCATGCCAGCTCTCGGGGCAATTGCTTCCTGGTATCTCTTTATAGTTTTATCCCTCAGTATGTGTCCCTGAACGATATGGATTCATCTTCCCTGTCGTTGAACTTTGTATAATCAGAACGATGCTGTGTATTCTCGCGACCTGCTTCTTTCACGCCAAGTTACGTTTTGCAAGATCTGTCCAGTTGCCGGTGTGGCTATAGTTTGTGTATTCTCGTTGCCAAAGAGCTGGGATCAGAAATAGCAACGCTGGGGGGCTAAATCCAGCCCCGCTGCCTTTTGGTATGGCCTGCGAGATAGGAGTGGTTTTTGTTTTTTTTTTTTCCTATGTTTTTAATGGTTGGAAGAAAATCAAGAGAAGAATATTTCACAACACGTGAAAATGATACAATATTCACATTTCAGTGTCCATAAATAAAGTTTTATTGGAACACAGCCACACTCATTCATTCGCAGACCATCTAGGACTGCTGTCAGCCTCCATCGGCAGAGTTGAGCAGTTGCGAGGGCGACCATATGGCCCGCAAAGCGGAAAATATTTACTACCTGGCCCTTTACAGAGCACGTTTGTCAGCCCCTGCTGTGGAGGGTCCCACTGAAGGAATATATTGCAATTTCTTTAGCTATGATCGACATTTCAGGCGCTCGACGTCTGTGGCTGTGAGCACTCCTGGGTGGCCCCCAGGCCCACGTTGTTCAGTGCCTCTGGGAGCACATGTCCCCATGGAGGCTGCTTCTTCCCAAGCTGTCTGCCCACCGCCCCCCCCCTCCCCCCCGCCCCGGGCGGACTGTGAGCTTCAGGGGGCGGGAAACTTGTGCACTTTCTTGGTTCGAATCCTCGACTCCTAGCACGGAGCCTGGCACCCAGGGGATGCCCAGCAGATACCAAAGAGAGTGGGATGGATTCAGCTCCTCAGCCACAGACAACCCCAGGAGGAGTTCCAAGAGGGCGGGGTGGAGATGTGACGCCACCGGGAGAGGCACATGGGTCCAGGGGTGCAAGGTGGGTCCGTCTGGTATGGCGGGGGGCCTGGGCCTCGGGCTCCTCTCGGCACGGGCGGAGCAGTGAGACCCTCATGTCTTGGGTGTGGATCCAGGAGTGCTGCGTCCACATGGGCCCCAACACCTGAGATCTGACCCTTGTTGTGGATCTAGAGGCTGCAGTGGGAGTACAGGCCTCGGGTGCTGGGGTGGGGGCTGGAAGCCGAGGAAGGGAAGGGGGTGACCTGAGGCTGGAGAGGGGGAGGGGAAAGGAGTGGGTGTGAAATTGGCAGGGGGAGCTCCTGGCCCCCTGGGGAGGACAGTCTGGCCAGCCTGGGATTGAGCTGTGGGAGACTTGGCCAAGTCACCTGACCACTCAGCCCCCACTTCCCTGTCGGGGCACTCGGCACCCTCCAGTGCGGGCCTCGGGAGCAGGAAGGCACATCCAGGGCCACCAGTGGCCCTGGGACCTGGCACCTGGGACCCCTCAGGGAGGGCCCGTGGGGCCTCAACCGTGGGGACGGGGTACCTGCAAGGGGAGGTGTGGTGAAGCTGGGGTGCACCTGCTCCCCCCACTCCAGGACTGCATGGGCTGTGGGGAAGAAAGTAC